GGCTTGCACCATAGGATTGATTCTTGAGAAGAGAAATTACCTTATGTTGTGTTTCGTTGAAGAATTTGGAAAAAGAAATGAAAAAGACAAGTGAAATGTGAATAAAATATATATTAATTTCATCTAATTTCACACCTCTTTTCTCTTTTTCTTTCCAAATTCCTCACCAAAACTTTCAAGCAAACACAACATAACCACGGCTGACGACACAGTGGTGCAGCAGAGGAAGCAATAAATAACCACGGATCTGGTAGACATGCAATAAACTGTGTAATGCTTGGAACAAATATAAAGGATCAGTTAAGTTAGGTTAAGAATCTTAAATAAATTATTAAATTTTGTATTAAATCTCTTACATGGTTGTGGATATGTGATTTATGTGAATTTTACAACTATATAAAAGACTCGGTAAAAAATTTGATAATCCATTTGGGATGCATAACATTTTCCATAAAGGATTGCAGGGCTGTTGAAAAGCCTTGGCACCTAACCTCATGTATTTTCAATGCTCTGTTTTTTCTTTTTCGTTTTTACTAGATCTTAGCAATCTAGTTCTATAAAATAAAATTTTCTACAACTGTAAGGTTATGTCTCTATTTAAAGAAAATACCATTAGTACAAATAAATGATTTAAAGGAAGTGAAATTAATTTTATTGAATCTTCAAAGTGGCGATAGGTCAAAAGATTTTTTGAGTAACAATTGGAGATGAGTAATCTACAGGTATATAATGGGGAACCAAGAAGAGAGAGAAAAAAACTAGAAAAAGTGATTTCATATAATAGAATAATAATGAAGTGTCATAAACATTTTAAAAATTGTTTAGATCCTTCATTTTATGGAAGTTATTTGTCACTTTTTTAGATTTTGTTATATCACTGTACTGAATTAATTTGATTTTTATTTTTATTTTTTGATTTTGCAATAAAGATTTTTTCTTCAAGATTAAAAAAAAAAAAATTTAAAATATGGATGGCTCTTTGTGATTGTAGAAATTGTAAAACTTCGTTTTCAGAAATTTTCATTTAATAAAGTTAACAGAAAGAATAAAATTCATAATTGTGCTTTTATACAATAAGAAAAATTATCAAAACTATTAATTGAAATATATTACTGATATCATTAAAATCTATTAATTGATTTAATGATTGATTAATAAAATGAGTTATTTGTTATGCAACGAAAAATTTTAAAGGATAAGATATGATTTCAAAATTATAAAAAAAAGTATTCAAAATAAATCTCAAAGAGTATATTTATAATTTATAATAACAAAATAAAATAGAATGAGTCTTCAAATGAAAGTTGTTCAAACAATCTCTCATACTCACAATCAAAGCATATATGATATGCTACAAGCAAGTAAAGTATCTTTCAAACTTTTACTCTTTTGCACTGTTTTTAATTTATTTATTATCTTATTCATATAACAGTGAAACAAATCTTCATCTAAGCTCTCAGTATCCACTCCTATAAATTAATGACACTTGTTCATTCTCTCTCTCTCTCTCTTTCTCTCTCTCAAGTCATTACGTGTGAAAGTTTTTAGTGATTTTCAAGGACAAAACCCTCGGTACTCTCCACATCAGCAGCTACTTCTGAAGAGCACTCGTTGATTGCATTCACATAACTGGTAAGTTGAAAAGCTATTTTCTCTCAATTTCCTTACCCTTCAATAAAATAGAATTGAGCATTATTATAACATTATTGTTGGAATAGTGGTTTTTGTTTCCTTACCTTTCCACAATCTTGCACTCATTTTCTATTGTTGTTGCATCACACTGTTTTTTTATTTTGGTTGGATCCTCTCCAACTGGGTGGTGTATAATAAGCATATGATTGCGCTCATATTTTGGTGTCAACATTGTTGGGATTATTTTGTATAGCTATGCTACTTTTTGCACCCACTTCTCATATCTCTATCGATGTAATTCCTCTTTGTTTGTTGGTTTATATCAATAAAGTTTTCCCTTATTTTGCTGATAATAATAAAACTAAAAATAAAAATAAAAAACTTCAAGGAATTAGTTTTTTTTTTTTATAAATAAAATTTAAATCAATTAGAATTTTGTCCAACTTCTTTTTTATTTATATTCTATTATCACTCTAATTTTTGTGTGCTAACGTCATATTTAGGATTATTGTTGATTTTGTTATGTGCATCGAATCCAGTAATAGAATAGAAATTACTGTTTTTAGATACTTACAGAGGAAGAGATAGAGATACTGTTTTCCATGCACCCAGTAATAGAATAGGAAATTACTCTTTTACATACCGAGGAAGAGATAGAGAGACTCTTTTCTATGCTTATTATGTCCTTGCTTAATAACATAAAGTAATATCTATGTTTTTTTCATGCGAACTACTAGAAAAGTAGCTCTATCATAAATTTTTTTTTTAATCTTAACAATAATCTTATTCTTTTTAATTATTTGTTTACGAACCCATCATACGTTCCCAATTTCAAAGTTATAATGTTAAATAATACACACAAAAAAAAATATAATGCCATGTTCCTACGAGCATTTTGATTGAATAATAAATATTTATAAAAATACTATATATATTTTTTATTTTTGTCAAAATATACCACCATTTGAAATCACAGCTTTTTATAAATAAAAAGTTTGGGCCAAACATAGTCATTTTACTTTTCCAGTAAATGCTTTTAGATTTCATAAAAACTATTACATTTTGAAATTTATATTTTGTTCTTCTTTTCCTTAAGTAATTACTTGCATGCTTTTATTCCATTGCATCCCATGTTTTAATGTTCTTTTAGGAAGTAATATCCAGATTTGAACAAATTAGCTCAATACACTGTCTATTTAATATGAAATTAATTTGGTTTATTTGCATTCATTTTTAAGAAGAGAAATGCTATATATATATATATATATTAGCAAACGAAACTTTATTGATAATCTAAAAAGAAAATAGGATGCAATCAATAAAGATGGGGTGTAAAGAATATCATAGCGAGCTAGACAATCCCAACTAGGAGATTCAAATTGGACGATTAAAGTCCAATAATTGCTCAAACTTGGGAAGCAATAAATAAGCACGTACAACTTTCATAATAAGGGAGAAATATACACTAGAAACGATTTAAACTATTTTCTATAAGAGTTGAACCTGTAACCTTATACCATAAAATGGTGTTACACAGCTATTAGACTAATATACTTGGTTTGGCCATCAAGTTAAAAGTGGTAGTTTCCTTATATCAAATAGAATTTTAAATTGTACAATGACTTCTAGCTTCCTTTTGAAAAGTTTAAGGATTAGTTTGGTTGTATGAATTGCCTTATTTTGTGAATATTTTACTTTGAATTAAAATTATTTAAACATATCTAATTTAAATTTTCATAAAGAAATTAAATATTTTAGATTGAGTTGCTTTACTTTCACATCTAAAAATGTCAATTATTCAAATTTTAAAAGGTAAGTCACACTGTTGATCCTTCTAATTTGAGTGAATTATCACTTGGGTCTTTGTAGTATTCAATTGAACAATTGGAAATTGTATATTTTTAATTTTGTTGCAATGTCATCCCTCTGTCACTTTTAAATTTTGAACGGAAAAAAAAAAAAATCCTATGCAAAACTAAAAGAACCAAAGTGAAATTTAATTTCTTTTGAATTTCACTTTGATCCCACTAATTTTGCATATAGCCTTTTTCCGTTAAAATGTTAACGACATATGATTGGGACAACATTGTAACGAAATTGAAAATTTCAAGTTTAAATTTTTCAAATTACAGCTATAGAGATTAAAATAACACTTCACTTAAATTATGAGGACATAATGGTATAATTTACCAATTTTTAAATGAGCTAAGTCCAGAGTAGACATTTTTCACTAATGCCAACCTCAGATGCAATACCATTGTAAGCCTTTTTAATGTATGAAATCTAATGAAAAGTTTTCACATTTTTATGAGACACGGAATCATGACTGCTTTTACTGTTCCATTTTTGTTTAGTATTGCTACTAACACTTAAATATGCATCGAATGCAGAAGATGTAAAGTCAATTTGGATTGAGTGATTTGGAAAGAAAATAAAATAAATGTATTTTTCTTAGTCTATATCACCTGTTTAGATAAGTATTGAGTACAATGGAAAGAAATGGAGAGCATAGATCCATTTCTCTCCTAACTCCCATTTTGAATATCTTCAAAAATAGAGAGACTATAAGAGAAAAGAAATAACAAAATATTATTCTGTTATAATACCAAAACTATATTCTTTTAGATATAAAAGAAATAAAAAGACTATAACATTTATAAATGGTTAATTTAATTAGGAAGAGAACATGATATCATTTCATTTCAATTCTTTTACATAGCTTAACTAAATAAGATAGGAGACCAATCAATATCTTTTCTGTTCTTTTTTCTCCTATTCATTCAAACAAATATGAGAAAAATCATAATATTTTATTTTCTCTCCTAAGTTACATAATCATCTCTTTTCTCTTCTCTCCTCGGTTACCAGACATAGTGTAATTGTGGGGCTCTCTCTTGCATTTGGTTCCCATGTTAGTAAGATTGTAAGTGTGTTTAATTTTTTCCCTGTTATTTTTCATCTACATGTGCATCACAGAAGAGAGAATCATGCCGTGCATCAGGATCTGTAAGATAGTCAAAAGGAATACTCTTGAAACCTTGAGGAAAATCTGGGGTGTTTGGGACTTGAGGGTTCTAGCTATATGTATCCTCTTTACTCAATTATACCTTCATATTTTCAGACAACGCCGTAGAAAGAGTACAACAGGGCTGATGAATACTGTGGGTGTTTGGTTATTATACTTGCTCGCTGATTTGCTGGCAACAATTGCTCTTGGAAAGGACTCCAAGCTCAATGCTGACGCCTCTGATATTAACTCAATAAATCTGTTGAGAGGTTTATGGGCATCAATAATCTTTTTCTTTCTTGGAGGTCCAGATACCCTAACTATCCTACGCTTGGAAGAAACCAGCATGTGGTTGAAACAACTTGTAGGACTACTTACACAAGGTGTAAGAACAAACCTAGACACAAATTGATTCATGAATTCCGCGAATGAGTGCTTGAAAGGGGTACTACTCACAATACTTTCAAATTGATTGAGATTGAGTTGGGATTGATGTATGACATCCTCTTCAGCAAGGTAGGCACGGTTTTTACATTCTATGGAAGCATTCTTAGATTGATTAGTTTCTCTTGCATAGCTTTTGTTCTGGTGGTATTTTGCTTCTTTAAAAAGCCTGGTGAGCTTATAGAAGGTGATATTCCGATTACCATATGTTTGCTTGTTGGAGCCCTTGTTTTAGAGATAGCTGGAGTTCTTGCGCAACTTTGTTCAGATTGGGCAATTGTTTGGGCATTTAAGTATTACCCGAGTAAGCTGGTCATGCCAGTTTTTCATCTACACGAATTTGTGTTCTCTAAAAGCAAACGGTGGTCTGAGCTTATGGGACAATTTAGTTTACTAAACTATTGCACCAAAAATAAGTGCAACATGGTCTATAATATTGTAGAAACTGTGTGGAACAGGGAAATCGTGTTGGCGAAGTTCAGCCTGCCATTGAGTCCAATCCAACCTAGTTTGAAAGAACTAATCATCAATCAGCTTCGCAACAAGCTGAAGAGGAATGTTCCCGAAGCTGAAACTTCTGAGGCTTCAAACAGAAAAATAGGTGAGTGGACCCTTACAAATTATGGACATCTGGATGCATTTAAGTGGATTATCGAGCTAGAATTTGATGAAAGTATTGTCATATGGCATGTTGCTACGGACGTTTGCTATCATTTAGAATTGGAAGATCCTAAGTTGATCACAGATGAAGTGGAAACAACTAAAATATTGTCATATTACATGATGCATTTGCTTCTCATGTCCAAGTTTACCCATCTGCGATGATATTGACACATTTGATGAGGCCTATACTAATGTGAAAAAGTTTTTTGATGAAAGAGATTCTGGATCATCTAATGTAAAACCTTACAAGCTTCTGGAGAAAGAGTGGAAGGAAGAATGGAGCACCAATTTGACAATGAACAAGATCCAAAAACTTGTTTGTGGTTTGAGGGAAGAAAAAGAGAACAAATGGAATATTATGAGCAATGTGTGGGTGGAGATGTTATGTCATGCCGCGAATCGTTGCCTATTGAAGCATCATGCTCAAGAGCTTAGAAGTGGTGGACAATTTGTCACTCATGTTTGGCTTCTACTTATGCACTTGGACGAAATAAAAAAGCTAGAGAAAGATACATCTGAAGAATCAATGGATGAAATCGAGGCAGGTTACGAAGCAAAAGGGTTTTTTCAAACCCTTGCGAATGTTTTCGGGGAATGTGTGAATGGGTAGTTTGAGTTACTTTCAACTTACTCATACTACCATTGAGCTATGATGTTTTGGAGAAGCTATTGTTTTAGATGCTTTGAAAAGATTGTTGTTTCTCATTGTGTGTTGTGTCATATGAGCTTTTCGCTGTCTTAATTTCTATGATTTTGTGATGGTCTCTGTTGTCTTTAATTGTGATCATTTCAGTTGGATTGTAGTTCTCTATTGTACTATTTCCCTTATATATAGGATCGATGTTCCTTTCTTCAACTGTTCTGGTAGAAGAGATTTACCTCAAGATCATATTTTTGTTGACTCTTTATTCAACTATTTGAGCCAAAAAAAAACTCATTTTTCCTTTATTTAATCTCCCAATTGTTCAGGGTAGGTCTTTTCTAAAAACCCACTCAATTGGGAGATTCTACTCTGTTAATGACTTTGTGCATCAAATTCAGCAGGTTAGAAGTAGCATTGGGCACAGAAGATAAGTGGGGTTTGCTAGATCGAGTGTTTTGCTCTGTTGTGCAGTCACAGGGTAATTTCTTGGCTGTGTCTTGCTGTGGTCTATCTCTGCTGTGCTCTGTTTTTATCTTTCATCTTGTTGTTTGTGTTGATTTCTCACAAACCTTGAAGAGTGTGCTAGCAAACGATTGGGTAGGCTATTCGGTGCTAACTTATTTGGGATTGTGTAGCT